TATCTGCTTTCATGTCTGATGAACAAGTGTTCCACCCATCAGTCCTCTTATCACCTCTTCACCAAAGCTGAATTATAAAAGAAACAAGCTTAAGGAGCAGAAAGGTTGAAAATAACTCTTCTGATAGTCACATTTCTGATGGTTAAATATATTTTACAAATCTGAGTTGCCTTTGTTAAGGTGATACACATCTTCAGAGAAGAGAATAGAGATTATTACTAAAGATCTAACCACCAAGTTACTATTTATAAAGGACTGCCATTTCTGCAATTTAAAACTGGTATGCTAATTCTAGCATTCTTCTCTTATTCAACCTTATTCTCTTGTTCAACCTACTGGAAGATAGATGCTTCCAAATCTACAGCTACTTGGTCTAAGTAAGATTAACAGATATGTGGAAAAGAACTATGAAACTCATCTGTCTACAGACTGTAGTAAAATTACTGAGAAACAAATAGTTTTCACTTTTATGTCTATTTAAAAGAAAGCTATCTGCAGGAGCTGAAAGCAGGTACTTCTAATAACCAGAAGGATGGACTATTAAGAACAGCAATAAAAATCCACTCCCATCCTTCCCCTCACAAACAACAGAAGGCTGTTTCTGTGTATAAAAAGCAATACAGTCATGGCAACCCGGACTATGAAGAGAGGAAAATCAGAAGCTCACGCTCCCCTTTCAGTCTCTAGAGCTGACAAGTAAAGTATAATACTCTTGAAAAGCTAATAAATAGAGAGCTAAGAAATTCTTTTAGAAGAATCTAGATAACACAGTACATGGAAATCCTACATCCTACACCCCTTCTGAAAGCTGAGCAAGGCACAGAGGATTGGCCTTTCACTCAATTCTGCATGCTAACTTTGGTGACAGGACTTCCCTCACCCAAATCTGTTCCTGCTAGATACTTCCTGGCTGAAATGCCTCCATCTGGTAATTTTTTCTGATGTTTTTAACAAAGAGTTAACAGACACAAGCATTCAGTTACCCTAGAAAGCTCCATGCACTGTGCAAAATGACAAGCTGATTTTTTTAAAAAAGCAAGGATCACGAGGAGCAAATAGAAGATTATTCTAGAACAGACTTACACAGGACAGCCTCAAAGAAACTGGACAGGTCAAGACAATGTTTGGAATTTATGTCAGTATACCAGTAATTTGCATAATTGCTTGGTCTTGTTACACCATCATAAGTTATGATTTTCTTCAGGATACTGATGAACAAAAACAATGCAGGAATATGAAAACTTTAAACACAGCGCATTGCCCAGCATAACTAGTTCTCTGCTTTTTATGAAATACCCAGATACATTAATGCAGACTGCAAATATGTTTTCTTATAGTATCAGATACATCAGACAATCATAGAATCATAGAATAGTTAGGGTTGGAAAGGACCTTAAGATCATCTAGTTCCAACCCCCCTGCCGTGGGCAGGGACACCTTACCCCAAATCATATCACCCAAGGCCTCGCCCAACCTGGTCTTGACTCAGATAATATATTCCAGAGAATTACTCTGTTGCAGAGTTTAGACTGAGACTGAACTTGGTAACAGAGAACACAGCACTAGTACATAAAGCATTGAATAGGCAGAATAAAATTTAACCCATGACTGACATTGTGTCAGATACCACAAAAACATCCTCCTAGATAAAAACACTTATCTTCCTCTTCTCTTTAAGAAGCTGAAGTATGACATAGGAATAACTCCATGACTTCTCCAAGTTATTGAAGAAGAAGCCCTTCTGGGCAAGAAAAGTTATTTGATTTCTGTAGTAACACAAGCAGATTAAAGTGAGCAACTTACACATTATCTTTAAAAGCTGTAATTTTGTATAAAGTAGAATCAGAAAAATTACTAAACTAATTGCTATGGTACTCAAATTTATACTTAAATTTTCTCCTATCCATTTATTTTCCTATTTAATGGAAGAGTATCTCTTGAAAAGCACATCACCTTACCAGGTAACTGATTGACTAGAGGGCTGAGAAACCGACTTACCCAGTGGGAAAATTTAAAAAGAACAACCATTGATAAAGAAAAATTAACGAAAAAACTTTTTTTGTCCAAACAGTAGCTTTTTTACTTTCATTACTGCAGGATCACTTATTGAATATTTGCTCTATTTCCTACAGTCTTCCACAAAATTTTAAGCTGAAGTGCTCCGAAACCTTATTGTATCACAGACTCAAGGGAAGGATAACAATTTATGTAACATTCCCTGTTGCTACAGTGATTGAGCTAAGTATCAATTATAATTTGCATAAACACTGCCAAAAATTTAAAGAACTGATTTTCCACTTCTTAAGCAGAAGTCAAATGAGTTGCAGTTGCCACAACTTCTACTACTATAAACTACAAGCAACTTCCACATGTAGGAGATCAGGTTTGATTATTTTGAAGCTGCTATGATATTGCTAAGGGGGGGAAGGAAGAGAAAAATACATTCACCTTAGCACTGAACTTCAACTGACCTATGCCTCCACTGACTTTTGCAACCATTTTTGTACTTGACAAAAAAAATCTCAAAGCACCAACTGACATAGAAAAGGGAGTGGCTTGTCTACAGACAAGTACAGTCCAGTGTAGCACCTACATCAATGGTCCCATCACCACACTGCCTACCATCCTGCAGATTATATTCAGGTCTCGGTCACTTTCTGAGCCTCCAGGAGATCTGAAGAATAACCACAACAAAACTTCCTGTCAACAACAAAACACTAAAGGATTACAGTAGAATTATCCCATCTTCACTACATGACTTTCTGGACAACTACTCTTCCATATGCCTCTAAGAAATCACATGCCCATCTTCACCATAAAATCCAAGGCTACTATTTTGAACGTAATTTGGATTTAATTGGACATAAGAGCTTTGGGATTATAACCATTATTATAATCAAAATCACCAGTATCCAACTAATCAATAGTTATAGTCCCATATACAGCTTTGTATACAGATCCTGTGCAAGAGTTTATGCAGCTCTGGCACCATTAAGGCGAGGGGGGTTCACCAACAGATTTGCTGCTAGGACACTCGCATCACTAAATGCAGAATCCCCTCACGCTGGACCTCTTCTGTACAAAAATCCCACTCTGTGGTCTCTCAGCCAATTCCAAAGACTGGAGCCTATCGCCTTCCTGCTGTCCTTCATTCACCACTTGTTTAAAATTTAAACATGTCCATGCTGTGACCCATACTGCACCTTGCAGTCAACACTCACAATACAGTTTTGTTCTTTCATTCTCACCTCCCCCTTAAAGCTCTCTGTTGTCACGATGCTTGGATAAATGGCCAACAGTCAGGGAATTGCTGTGAAGTGGCCAGAATCCATCAGGCTGACCAAGAGTGCCTCATTCTTTTCGTTCACTCACCATCTGTCTGTATCCATCTCCATACAGTCCTTACAGACTGTATGCTGTCTGCGGCAATAACCACCTTTTTTCATTCTCTATTTGCACAAAACTGCATGGAGTCCTCCTCTGTAGTTTTAGTTAAAACAATAAAAGCGAGCTGTTCAACACTGATTTTATAAACGGGTTTATACAAAGAAAAGGAAAAATGGTCAGAAAAAGGACAAAAAAAAAAAAAAGCCAACTCAAACTACATCTGCTTCTTCCTATTTGGTTCTGCCTTCCAAGACTCCTCTTCCCTATTTCAGAAAAAATCAGTTTTCCAGTTTTCATAAAAGCATAAATCTAAATACATGTATGTCAAGTTATGGCTGTAAGAAAGCATTTCAATATATTTCTCTTCAAGAATGTAAGCCACACTACTTCAACACAGGACAAGTTATTACATAATAAGATACACCTCTAATTTCCTGTAATTGACATGTTTTGTAATGACCCAAAATATGCAAAGTCTTCTCTCTAGAGGGCAGTTGGTCATCAAACAATTCAAAAGAAACAGAGCTGTTTTTAGAGGGGCATTTTAAATATTCTGTCACTGGTTCAACATTCTCTCCCATCTTCACTGACATAACCTCATCACAAGATCTCATCCCGACTTGTCTTCTGGAAACACACAAGCATTTTCCACTTAGGAGACTGAAAGCAAAACCAAGACTGGGGCGCTTTGTATCTTCACAGAAGACACCACAAACCCATGTCCCTCTCTTCTGTTTCCTACACATTCAGACCCTTCTTAGGGGGTCTTTTTGGGGGGGGGAACTCTTTCATTTGGCCCTACAATTGCTATGAACATAAGCTGACAATATTTTTTTTCTCTTCCTAGTAAAAAGAGAAAGAAAGAAAAAACCCAAAGTCCTAACATCAACCTGGCTTCAGAGTGGTCAGAACACAAATCACCCACTGCGGTTGCAACTTGGGCGTAATCTCCTTCTCCCTAATTCTGTATCATCTCTACTACATCATGCTTTCATCCTGCACCTACAACTTGGTAGCTGCCCTTCCTATCAAATACCCCAACCCTGCTTGGGAAAGGAAATATAAACTGACAGGTATATCCCAATTAAAACACATAGCATTGTGTTCTAAATTAACAAGCAAAAAAAGCTGTATTTACACGAGACCAGTACCTCCTCAGTTTATCACACCATCTCCGTGCTGCTAGCAAAGGAGAGCAGAAGGTGGGAAAGGAACGAAAAGGAGCAACACAGACGACACCATCCGAAATAAATATTCAACACGCTCACAAAGTGGAAGGAATTTAGAAATCAATTACATATCTAAACGCCTCGTCACACCGGGGTAGTTTATGCTGGAGGTGAACCAGCTCTCCAGTCCCCAGGCTGCAGCAGTCAGTGCCACCCACCCGTCGCCCTCTCATCGCGAAGGGGACAGGGGTGGCACGACTCCGCTCCGCCGACCCCGGAGTCGGCCCCACCGCCAACACCGGGGTAGAGAGGAGGACACGACCCTGCCCAGCCCTCGTGGGGCTGCTCCATGACCACCGCCTCGCCATCCGGGGCCACCTCAGCACCAGTGACCGTTAGGCGGGGACGGCGACCGTTATGCCGCGCGCGCCCCGCCCGCCGCACCTGGATGTAGTTGGTCTCGCAATACTCGGCCACCCGCTCCAGGTTCGTGTAGCTGTCGAACAGGGCCCGGCGCCCCCCCGGGATCTCTTCCTCCAGCAGCATCTGCAGCTCCGCCATCTTCACATCCTCTCACCCGGTCCGTCCGTCTCTCTGTCCGTCCTCCTCGCCTCCCTTCGCTCCGCGCTGTACCCTTTCCCCCCTCCCACCCCACGGCGTTACTCGCCACCCGAGCCCGGCCTCGCGCCGCGGGCAGGAAGCGCGCGCGCGCCAGACCCCCACCGCGGCGGTGAACGGGACGCGGCCGGCAGACACCTCTTGCGCATGCGCCCGCCTCCCACCGAACACCCCCCCCCCCCCCCCCCCCCCCAACCTTCCCCTCCGTCCCGCAGAGCGCCCACTTCCGGCCCGGCGGAGGGACGCGGGTGATAAGTGGGATGGTCCGGTGGCGGATCGGCTGCAGCGTGTGCAAGGGCGGTTCTCCTTCACCTCGGGCGGTTTGTACAAAGCAGAAGCGATCCCTGCCTTGTTGTGCAGTTTTCTTAGGGGTCTGGTTTGTTTTTAACATCAGGTGCGGGGCTCGGCCCGGTCCCCGGAACTACGGAACCATTGAGTAGTTTGGGTTGGAAGGGACCTTCAGCGGTCCCTTAGCGCAGTCCCCTTGCAATGAGCATCCTCAGCTACATCAGGTTGCTCAGAACCACATCCAGCCTGGCCTTGAATGTCTCCAGGGATGGGGCATCGACCACCTCTCTGGGCAACCTGTGCCAGGGTTTTACCAAGCCTCATTGTAAAGAATTTCTTCCTCAGGTCCAGCCTCTTTTAGTTTGAAACCATCACCCTGTCACAAGTCCTGCTAAAAAGTCTCTCCCATCTTTCTTACAGGTCCCTTTTAAGAACTTTAAGGCCACAATAAAAGTCTCCCCAGTCTTCCCCAGCTTGAACAACCGCAACTCTCTCAGCCTTTCCTGATAGGAGAGGTGTTCCATCCCTCCGGTGGCTGGATCTCGCTCCAGAGGCAGCAGTGTCACCTTGAGTTGTTGCCCCAGGGGTGTCCCCTGGAACTGGAGCTGGCTCCAGCCACAGCATTAGTCTGGAGGGCCAACACCAAATAACAACATGTACCTTCATTGTAGGAAGGCTTGGCGCTTTTTTTTAATCATCATTTTGCACTAATTTACTCAGTGGCAGCTTGCTAGCAGCACTCTTCCCAAAGCATCAGTGTAACACCACATATATTGATACCTCTGGAAGCTTTGTCCTCAATACAATGTGAGCTAGGATCAGACCCTCATGCTTTTAGTATAGCTGCTGCTCTGCTCTTCTGATGAGCAGAGGAAGAACAAAATGTTTCTTTTGTGCAGATTCGGCCTGAAAAGCTGCTATTGTACAGGGGCAAGAGGAAGGGTAAATTCTCAGCTGCCAAGTAGTCAGCTTTTCAGCTTTAACAGAAAAGCGTATTAATGAAGGGTCAGCAGAAACAGAGGAAGGACAGCCTCGTGGCTGAAGCACAACACTGAAGCCATGAGTTAGGAGGTCTGTTTGGTCAGTTCCCGGCTTTAACACTGACTTCCTTTATGTCCCAGGCAAGTCACTCAGTATCTCTACAGTTGTGATGAAAATGCCCACCCTTAGAGGAATGTGGAAGGCTTTCCCACTGAATTCCTTCACCTGAACCCAAAAGTAGCCTTTCCCCTCCCCCAGGAAAAAGAAAAGGCAATCAGCCCTCTCAGCAGAAGTGTCCCAGCTTTCTCTAGGGGAGCTCATTTGTCTCTTTGAAATGAATTGCAGCTGTGATTACTTGCTTCATGTTCCCGTGAGGCTCCAGAGCTTCTGCTGCCTCTGTAGTGCAGCCCTGCATGATTGGACATCCCTTACATACTCTGAATACAACAGTCTGATATTTTCCCAGCCTCTCTGTTACAGACAATTCTGTGGTAGTCACCAGCTAGAGAAGATCCAGTGCTGCAGTCCTTGTACACCAACCTGGTACTCTAGAAACAGTTGTTCTCGTGCCTTGAAAGCTGTTGCAAAGGCATCCAGCTAGATAGCCCTGGGTGCCAGGTGATTTCTAGAATTAGAAGCAGATTGTAAACAGCTCCTGGGGTCATGCAATAAACATTTCATCTTTGGGCCAGTCCTTTTTAAGTTTCTTCCCTTAAAAGAAAAATGAGATAGAAATCCCTGTCTTGAGGAGTGTCTGCCTGGAGATATTTCCTCTTATCTCGCTTAGCTCTCCCATGTGAAGGATGAGTCAGGCACAGTGTTCATTATACTGCTTTAAAAACCCTCATATGTAAAGCATTTTTCTCCCAATTTTAAATATGGCCCAAAATTCACAACTTCAACTACTTGACTGTGTGCTATAATTTTTCTACAGGCAGTTGAATTGCCAAGGGTAATTCATATTTTCCAGCTGCAGTAGACTTAATCTCACAAGAAGTCTTGAGAATTGCAAAACACCCTGCTAGAGACCCCCCACTATGGCATGTGCGGGGAAGGGAGGGGTGACTGCTCGAGAACACAAGTACCCTATCACCCAGTACCCACGCTCCAGCACGGGGCTGTGCTAGCGCGGTGTCAGGTTGCCTGCAACTCTTCACAGCAGATGCTGGCACTCCCTGCCCTAAAACAAGGACTAAAAAAGTGTCATCCAGGCTTGCTCTTGGTGCCCTGTACCCCCAAAGTTTATAAACCATGAGTTATACATCCAGAATTACTGACTGTGAACTAATTAAAGAATAAATCCTGATTGTCGGCTCCTCTGCTGGTCATTAATGTGCCTTTTGAGAGAGCTAATCAGAGCCTTCACTGCAAGGGCTCAGAGAAGAAAAGCCAACCAAATCAACTCAAGGCTGCTGCGGGTGTGGAGCTCCATTCTTGTCCCACATCTCCAAGAATCAGCAATGGCCAGGCCTCCTCACCCTCAGGCTTGCAGCTGATGAGTAACACCTTTGCCTTTCGGTAATGGGCCCCATGCTCCCTCCTCCACAGTACCTTTAGCTTGAGCTCTGCTCATCACATCTGCTCCTGCTGCTGCAGCTCCAGGAGCTGCTCATGCCAATGCTCCCACCACTCTTCATTTCTATGCCAAGCTGGAGGCAGGCTAAAGCTGCCTTCTCTCTTCATTCATTTGCTTTTCAGGTGTGAAGTCAAGCTGTCATTTGGCAGCTCCCCAGAAAACCTGCATGATCTTTCTTTCGGCAAAAGGAGAAAGCTGTCAAGATGTAAAGAGGAAGGTTCTCTAAAGATGCTGTTAGGAATTTTAACTTGGATTAGCAGCACCAGACTGTAGGGAGAGGGAACTGTTAATTGTTTCATCTTCTCTCTGTGCTTTTGGGTACCATCAGAGCCTGCTTTGAGGGGAAACCTGAGAGATCCCATCTGCTCTTAGATCTGCACCCAGCATCAGCAAACCTTCTTGCACAGTTCCCACCCATGGGTCAGACACCTGCTGACCTCTCAGTGGCCCTGGGTGTAAGAAAAAAAATACATGCACACAGCTGCACATCACAGTAGCTAGACCAACCCGCCTGCGCAATCAGGTGCTAGTTATCACCACACGCTTACATTTTAATAGGGTACTCATTTGTGGATTAAAATTTAGGTATGAAGAACCCTCCTGTCAGAATAATGGCCATCCTATAATCCTCTGTATGCATACCAAAAAGAATTAGAAATCGTGTTTAAATTAGACCAACTGAATCCAACTACTAGTTCCCTAAATTTACATTAATGGCTTCCCATCTATCCAGTGATGTGCTAAACTAATTTTAAGTTTTTATACCCCCTCAGCCCTAATTACAGTATCAGATGCTTAAACTTTTCCAACTTTTTTAAAAATCCTTTTTTATGAGATTTTACCTTTGATCAGTATCTTTGAGACTTGGAAGCAAATGTATTTTCCACCTAAAAGTGCTGCTTACAGTCACCAGAAAATAGGAAGACAAGCATCTAGCTGGAGACACCAAACTGGAGGTTGAGACCCAAAAACACAGGGACCACTATTCTTCCAACTTCTCTCACATGTGTTAGGGTTTTACCTCTGCCAGTCACCCAAGGGAGTCACCCAAGGGAGTCACCTACTCGCAAACACTTGCATGGACAAGCCAATGCTTTGGTGTGTGCAGTCTTGTAGTTGGGCACTTTGTGTGGATGTCCCACATACCAAAGTTTGAATTACCAATTCTTAATTAGAGAAAAGTAATAATGGGGTAGCTCAAAGGCCACCTGGTTTTGGCACGACAGTAAGAAACCACAATCAAAAGCCTCTTTCATTTTTTTTGCTGTATGGAAAACTGAACAGCACAATCACCACATTGGGGTATGTAAGTAAACATCCTGTTTAGACAGATGACCAGGTCAGATATCCAACAGATCCTTCTGTAGGTTTTCAGTTCACTTATGTAAGTAACTCTGCTCTAGTTTCATGAGGTTCCCATTTATGAGCCCCCTTTTTTTTCTTTTCATGTTTTGTAGATGGTAGAAACAAAAGCTGAAAACCCCTGTGCTTGCTGCATCACATGGAGCTGGGCAGATTTGCAGCTGGAGAAAAGTCAAAGGTCTCTGATACCAAACTTACAGCCATATGCACTGACCACAGTAGATGGGAGGGAGGGGTGGGAGAGGGAGGGAAAACTGGGCAGTTTAAGAAAGTAGTCTGTAACTGAAGCATGTACCTTCAGTCCTTCAACAAAAACGTCGTCATGCCATCCTGCTCACTTCACACAGTGTCTGGATCTGCCTCTGGCTGCATGGCAGGTCTTTGCCATATAATCTAAAGCACCTGAAGCAAACAGCACCTTATTTAACTCCCACAGTTATACTAGAATGCCAGGGGTGCCCCCCCCAGCACAGAATGCAGATTCTACATATCCAGTGCTGCAACAAATGGTGCCAGGATCCCAAGGCATCTTAAAGGATCAACTCCGGTCCTTGCTGTAAACCAGAATGAAAAACCCACACAGCCTGCAGCTGTACATTCTCCTCCTGCTTCCTCAGGCATTCCACAATTTGCTGGGCAATCAAGATTATAACCACAGATTGCCTCTCTGTTTATGAGAAACTGCAGCTGTGTAAAACACTTGCTGCACAAAGGGTAAGACAAGTGACCTATGGGGTAGTTTATAGCTCCTGGAAGTGTTTGTGCTAACATTGCTATTTCAGTACCACCTCAGGTGGAGCCAGTGCATGATTGACATCTGATGGCCAACAGCACCTCCAGAGAGGGACAGGACATGCTAC